TACTAAAATGATTATATATGTTTCTTCCAGCTCATATCTAATTCTACATTTTATTTTTTTGTTCAGAAAATAACTTCTTCTTTTTTGTTACGTCTTACTAAAAGCGACATCATTCAAAAGTAGCCGAGGCTAATTTAACAAAAGAATATGAAAATAGAGGAAATAAATATCATCCAACTTGTTGATTTCTTTTCTTGATTAGATGAGATTTACCAACACTTGGAGTAAACCCAACCTAAATAGTTGTTGCTAAACATAAATGATTAAAGTTTGGAGTTAGGTACGAATTAAATAGGGACTAGCTGATTCCCACGTTTTACATGCGAAAGGACATACGAGGGTGACATGTAAGATGCTCTCAGATTATCTGTTACAAAATTATGTAGACCGCAAATACTATATAATCCAAATAAGAATCAATCTATTCATTTTCAGTTGGTTTTGAATTGTCGTCTATTATCGTTTATGAGTTAAAGTCACTACTTGAAACATTTAAACAAAAACTGGTCCAAATAACCAAGAGTTTAACAAAAATTTGGTTCTAGGGCTTAAACTATTTCACCTCAACATAAATACACATGACACTCAATTTAGTCGCCCAAACCCTTTAGATGCATGCAATATCTCCCAAAAGTCAAATAAGTGTTGGAGATAACTAAGTCAATACACAAAAGACAAAAGCTTAAAAAAAGTCTTCGAGGACCAAGTCCGAGATATATAGTGTGAAACTGTGAATGACCCAGACAACTATGATTATTTAAAGACCATTATTTATCTTTTATAAAAAGATAAAAAATTTTCCGAATATTTTAAAGACTCAACATTTTTTGGCTTAGAAAAAGAAAGTTAAAAAGAGAGACGAGACCATCTTCATCAAGTCCAAATTCCAAAACACAGCTCCATAAATCTTACATTTTGACGATCTGGGTTCGTTACTCAAAGCATCATCTGCAAAGTTTTAAATTCAGATCAATGAATTTATTCTGTAATCTCTTCCGATCCGGGTCCTTACTTGGGAAGCCATTGGACGAGTTCAAGAAGCTTTACAAAGTCGACAAGAAACAGTTGCTCGGTGCAGGTGGTTTCGGTACAACATACATCTGCGAGGAGAAGTCAACAGGTGACACTTACGCCTGCAAATCCATACCGAAGACCGATCTAAAAACCGATGAACTGAAAGAATCCGTCAAGACAGAGATTCGTATACTGAATCTTCTTTCAGGACAGCCAAACATCGTACAGATCAAGGGTTCTTACGAAGACAAGAATTCCGTACACATCGTGATGGAGTTGTGTGATGGTGGTGAGCTCTACGAAAAGATCAAGGATGAGGTCAAGTCACGTGGCTATTACTCGGAGAAAGCTGCTGCTGTAATCTTCAAGTCGATAATGGAAGCTATTCAGGTTATTCATTCTTCGAATGTGGTTCATAGAGATGTCAAGCCTGAGAACTTCTTGTTCTCCAAGGATATTCTCAAAGCAATCGATTTCGGGTGTTCTGTTCACATGGAACACGGTAAGAGAGCAAGATGTTTTCAACTTTTGTAGTTTTAGCATATTTGATCATCATTATTGTTTATTTGCTTCAATGATCATTACCAAAACTGGTGAATTAATGCTAGCTAGGATTTGATCATATTGTCAAGTATGCCATTTGTTTGGTTAGTTTAATCCGAACAATTTACAGGAACACAAATTACGGGCCATATCCAAAGTAAATACTATGTTGCTCCTGAAGTTTTAGAGAAGAAACCCCATGGGAAGGAAGTTGACATTTGGAGTGCTGGTGTTATATTATACATCCTACTATGCGGAAAAGAACCATTTTCGAATGGTAAAAGCCTTAAGCTAACTAAATATGTAGATATGTTTTTTCTTCTTCTTGAGAGGGGGTTTAATCTGTATTTGTATGTCCTCTTGTATTGTAGATTACGAGATTAAGAAAAAAGAATTGGATTTGGATAGCTCTCCATGGGGTGGTATATCTCCTCCCGCAAAAAACCTTATCAGGTTGATGCTCAGAAGAGAGCCAAAGGAACGAATCTCTGCTGAAGAGGTTCTTGGTAAGCCTCTTTGTTTCTTGTTCGAAAGCAATCAAATTGAAATTCTATATTAATAG